TTAGTTTGGACTTTTCAAAAATTTTCTCAAAAATTTTGAACAAATTCTATTAATAGATTTTTTTAAACAATTTTGTGTTTATTAAATTTTTTAAAAGGAAAATTTACCTATAAATCCCATATTGAAGAATGGTGATTTATTTAGTACCGAGGATTTTTTTATAAATCAATTAGCCTTATTGATTTTGGAAATGTAAATTTAATATATTATTTAGAAATTGAATTTACGGTTATACCATTATTTCTATTATGTTTCATTCTTTTCTTTTTTTTTCTTTTTTTTTTTCTTTCTTTTGTGTTAGAAAGGTAGGATACACCATTTATGGAATCAAATTTGGGATGGATTTTTATATGAGAATCTTTTTTATATGGAAAATATTTCAAAAGAGTACAAAAATGACTTGAAATATGAGACTTTTCAAACATTCCAAAAGAATGTGAGATTCTTCAAACATTTTAAAAGGAGTACAAAAACTCTTTAGTAAGTTTTGGATAAATGTATAATTTCAAATTGTAATATTCTAATGTAACACTCAAACGTAACACTCCAATGTAATACTTCAAAAAAATCTTAGTGTACTTTTTCTAAGCGTAATACTCTAAAAAAAACTCCTTAGAGCACATTTGTTTGGAGGGATAAGGGCATGGTATAGGACTTCATGTCCATTGGATGGAATAGTCCATTGTTTGATTCAGAAATTCTTCACTGGACTATTAGTCCCAAATACGTTGGACTGTTCTATCCTCGGAGAGGGTGTGGGACAAAAAACCCAAGATAGCTCGTCTATAGGATTACAATTTTTGGGCAGTCGACCATCCGGTTGACTGCGGGGACCACCAGTGAATGCTTTTGTGCCCAGTTTTGCTGAAATAAAGTAAATTTAAAATTTAAAATGAAGTAAAATAAAGTTAATTATACTTAGTAATGTAAAATAAATTTAAAAATCTCAACTAAAAATTAAAATAAATTCATATTATTTTTATTGATGTTTTATTTATTTATTTTTTTTAAAAGTTCTAATAAAAAAATTAAATAAAATAAGATATTCATAAAATTCAATAGAATAGTTCAATCTAGACATCTAATCCCATGACTAAACAAATATAGGATACACATCGTTTTGAACTAAGTAGTCCAGGGATAATGTATCCTAGGACTAACAGTCTAGCGGATTACAATCGCTCCTTATCTAGTCTATCGGAACAAACACACCTTAAGGTTATGTTTGTTTGGGTGGATATGAGTTTGGGATTGGATTAATAGTACAATAAAATTATTAATCCGATGTTTGGTTAAACAATTGAAGTACGGATTAATTATTTTAAACTTAACTATTAGTTAAGATAGAATACATAATCTAACGGACTTGTAGTCCTAGGATTATTAGTCATGAGAATGCTAATCCAGTCCACCCAAACAAACATGGCCTAAGTGTAACACTGCAATGTAACACAAAAAGAAAAAAAAAAAAAAACTTAATGTATTTTTTCAAACGTAACACTTCAAAAGAAGAATATGGGATTCTTCAAATCATTCCAAAATAAGTACAAAAATTACTTAGTAAGTTTGGAGTAAATGTATAATTTCAAATTGTGAGTGTTACATTTAGAAAAAATATATTAAGAATTTTTTAAATATTTTTGTGTATATTACATTAGAGTGTTATGTTTGGAAAAAAACACACTAAGAAGTTTTTTGTATGTTACATCGAAGTGTTACGTTTGAAAAAATACATTAAGGAGTTTTTTTGGAGTGTTATATTGTTACGTTTAGAAAAAAAATATACTAAGAATTTTTTTTGTGTTATATTAAATTGTTACGTTATTGAAATATTACATTGAACTGTTACGTATTTATTCATAATGTGGAATTTTATTCAGAAGAAGAAAAATTCAAAACCTCTATAGTGTGGATTATTCAAATGTGCAATTTCACATTTGGTAAAACTTACTTTTATCACTCAAAAATTAAACTCAAACGTGTAAGTGATTATCTTTTTTATATAATTTTTACTTTAATGAGATCTTTGAATTCATAAGAAAAAATGAAGGATTAAAAAGTCCACAAGATCGTATTTTGAGATTTATTAGTATTTCATCATTTTTTTTTTATTTTTTTTACATTTTTTTGTAACAAACATAATTTGTTTACAAGAAATTATTAACAGTTTACAAATTATTATCAAACTGACAATTTTTTTACAAGAAACTTCACTAAAATTTGTTACAAATTAGTTAAAAAAAAATTACTAACTAATTTGTTTGAATGCCTTTTCAACCAATTTTAAATCGGTTACCAATTATATGCGTAAGCCATTTTGCTAAGATCTATTTTTACAAATTTGTTTTTGGCACATATTCATTGGCAGATCACATTTGGATTTCTACATAAAGAACGCGTACATCACTTTCTCATGCTATTTTGAGAAGAAAATGGTTAAAAATTGATTTTTTAATTTTTTTTTTATTATTTTATGTGAGAGGTGAAATAATTTAAAATAAGTTAAAAGGTTGACTTTTAACTTTTAATCCATGTTTTCAAAATGGGCCTTTGTCTTAAGCCTCGTTTGGGAGGAGTGTTTGGACTAAAATAACTATATAGGATAAAATAAGTTATTTTAATCAAATAAGATAAAATATCACATCCAATTTATAATCATTTCATTTTTTCTCTTATAAAAATCAAAAAAATTATCTCAAACAAATTTTTTTAAACTACAAACTAAAATAATTAAAAAACTAAAATATCAACTCACAACACAAACCAACCATTCTAGTTACATGTCATGGTCATGGGCACAATACTTGTACCAACATCTCTCTAATTCAGGCCCTCACCTGACCAATCTTAATGTCATCATCACCCGACATCATGCATCATCAAAGACTAATTCTGGCGTTCGGACATGTCCGAATGTGTATATTTCCTTGTATTTATCACTTTGATAATTATTTCATCAAAATAATCACTTTATCTCTAATTTCATTGGATTTGATTTGACTATGGAATTGCTAATCCCTTGAGTAGTGTGTATTTCTAATCTCATGGACTAACCATTTTACCAAACAAATATGTTCCTTGTGGGACCATATGATTGATAATCCAATCCTCTGGACTAAAAAAAACAAACAGGGAGTAAATAGTAATTTAACATTTTTAATAAGCAAATGCTACCGGGTATATCGGATTATTATGCAGATATATTGTAGGTGATAAGGGACAATACTTCTTGACAGATATATTGGAGTAGTTTATCTACATATTCATTTTATGAATAAATAAAAAAATACCTGATCATTATTTAATAAATAAATAAAAATTATGTACAATATTTTTTAAAATGTCAGATTTCTCTTAAATTTAAATTTAAATTTGACAAATTTGAAAAGCTCTCGATAATTCGAATCATTTATTTTGTTAGACCTTTTATGTATATCATCTATAAATAAAAGGATAAATTTGAGTGCAGGATAAATTTTAAAAAACATTACAAATAAATGGTAAATTTTACAAATAATTTGTTACAATTACCAGTGAATAATGATTCCCCTAAATAAAATTAGGTTGATCTAAAAATCGAAACATTTTTGTTTTATCGTATTTGTCTTTAAAAATGTAGATGATATGTTTTAAAAAATATACTTGTCACCTATTTTTTCAGATACTAACATAATAAAATAAAAAATATAACGATTATTGAATCGATCTAATTTTCTTTATGAATGATATATACAATTAGGATTTTACAAAATCAATGATTTGAACAATTGATAGGAGACTTGTAATGAACTCTGCAAACCCCTTATCTCAAATTCATCAAATTTTGTTTTGAATTTGACAGAAGTCTAATTCTTTTTTTAAATCATAGAAATGTTTGAAGAAGTATTTTTTTTTTTTTTAAAAAAAAAAATTACCTTTAAAGGGTAATGCTATGATACACATCCCTCAAAAATTGTTTATCATATATATCTTACGTATTTTGTGGTAAATATTATGTATTTTCTGATAAGAGTTATGACAATTTTTTATTCAAAAATAAAGTTAGGCAATATGTGGTAGTGTTACATATTTTTTGGTAATGTTTTTTAATCTAAATATTTTCTAATCACAAAATGTGTAATAAAATCACAAAATATGTAACATTACCACAAAAATGCACAAATTCATTTTTGAGTCACAAATTATCGCAACTCTTATAAAAAATAAAAAATAAATAAAAAAACCTAACATACAGTACAAAAATATATAATAAGGTACATATAATACACACATTTTTAACAAGATTTATATATAAAAATATTAAAATTAAAATAGTTTAATTAGGCTTGGCAACTCGGTTAAAGAAGATTTTTTTATTTTTTTTAAGTTACATCACTTCTTTATTTTTTTTACATATTTTTTTTAAAAAAATATAATAATTTTTAACCTACTTTCCAAAATAAGCCTGTGTTTGGTCACCATGTCAACTTTTTTCAATTAAAAAAAAAAAACAAAGAATAGACAGAAGACAGAAAGAGAGTATAAAAGAAAATTAATAAATAAAAAATAAAACAAAATAAAATACTAGTAAATAAAAAGGTAAATTACAAATACATTTTTTAAAATTTATTTAAAGTATAGATTGCCCCATGTGATTTAAAAAATTATAAATACTTCATTGTTAGTATTTTTTATTTAACAGAATTAACTAAAAAAATAAAATTCATAATTACTTTTCTATACAATAATAAAATTACCTAAATTATTAATTGAAATATATTTCTAACATCATTAAAAATTATTAATTAACTTAATAATTTATTAATAAAAAATACAATTTATTATAAAATTAAAAATTCCAAAGATAAAATATAATTTTTAAAATTATAAAGCACGATTTGTATTTTAATCAAATTTTAAATTCTATGCGTAATTTACCCTATAAAATAGAAAAAGGAGGATCTTACTGTGAGAGAGAACAAGACGGTTCTGGATGAAATTAGACCGGTTGGAAGGTAGTAGTGGGTTGGCATTGTCACCCCTCTCCAATTTTTCCCTTCTCTATTTTATTTTATTCTCTTCTCTTCTCTTCTATTTCATTCATTCTTTCATAGTAATCTTTTATTTCATTTCATCTTCTTATTAGAAAACACAACGCACACACACTCACTCTTTATTCTCTATCTAGTTTCTTGGAAACACACTCTCACAATCTCTGTACACAAACTTCTCTGTTTCTTTTCTTTGATTCTGACGAACCCACAAGAACAGGATTGACATAGTTGCTGGAGCTGAAGTTTGAAGACGATGGTGACGGTGATGGTGATGATGATGATGATGATGATGATGAGTAGTCTTTTTTGAGAGATGTTCTCAAAGAGTTCACTGAACTTTTGAGTGAGTGTTTGACTAATGTTTGAAGGGTTGTTGGGGTTTTCATAAATGGTTGTTGGGTTCTACATCTTTCTTGGGTAGTTTTTTGAATGCTTATTTTATTTTATTTTTAGTTTTGTCTGTGCACTGAATATTCCGTAAAGCCAACTCGCCTCTTCATTCTCATATATTTATGTTGTATGTTCTCTTCAATTATATCATTCAACAATAGTTTTTAATGGTTTCAGCAACAGTTTTTAACGGTCTCTCTCTCTGTCTCAAAGTCTCCTCATTTTAGGTAGTCGGATTTTCCTACTTACACTGACCTTTCTGGTTCTCAAAAGGTAAGCAATTTTTTCTTTTTTAAGATCTCCCAATTTTCCTCTGTTTTTAGTTTTCTTTTTTGTTTTTTTATTTTTGTGGATGTTGATTGGTTTTCTTAGTTCCTTCTTAGTGGGAAATTCTTTAGCTATTAATGGTAATCAGTGAGTATGTGCTCTTAGTGTCATTGAATTCCCATTTTAGTTGTTTCTGTACTATGATCAAAGTTTAATCATTTTACACACTAGACTTGATGATGCAAACTCATGAACTTTAATCTCTGCAGGTACTTGTCATTTTAATAATCTAATTCTTCATTTTTGAATTCACTCATGGAAATGATGTAGATTTGGTATTTGCCTGAGTTGATTGATATCCTTGTTCCCGAATTCCCTGTATAAATTGGATACTTTAAACGAAAACATGCTTTCATTTGCATTTGCAACCTTTAGGCTTTGTTCCACCAACTGTGGGATTCTGTTGGTTTATTGCAATGACTCATGGTCACTTTTTAATATCTTCATTTGATTTTTTGAAATGCAGATTGAGAAACTGATAAAGGAGCTGCCTAGTATGCTCGCTGATTTGTCCAATGGAGATCTAAATTCTGCAGAAAAGGATCATTTAAGCAATGGAATCTCTTTTCAACACACTGAAAATGGAACAAATCCCAGGGAGGCCCAAAGCATGCTTTTGGAGAGAATCGCCAGTGAAATGAATCGGCTAAAGTTCTACATCACTCATGCACAGGTCTATCTTGCTGTCATCCTCATGTTAACTCTATTAGCTTTCTTGTGGTTTTTACATTTGTCTTATAATTTTTTTGCAACAATTTCTCAGTTACTTTTGTATCATTCATGTGCCAATAATGTTATTAAACTGTCTTTACTGAATGCTGTTGATGATATGCTTTCTGAGTTTTTTAAAATTTATTTATTAATTTTTGACTTTATGTTTCTGTTATTCACGACACAAGTTGTGAAAGTCTTAGTGATTGATTCATCATTTCATCTTCAAACTGTTACTTTACCAAAGAGCAAGACTATTTCAATGTCCATTATCTAGTGTTTTTCTGGAGCCTCACTAGGTTTCTCTACAAGTGAAACTTACAGTGTCTCTCTTGCATTTGGAAAACATATGCAAATCACGTTTCTTTCAAATAAACACAATTTTCTGTATGGTTTGTTATCTATACATTCCGTCATGAACACAATTTTCTGGTATGTGGTTATTACCTTGCTATTTGCTACTTCCGGCTATATGCTTTACATTTTACACCTATTGCACATTTAGCGTTGCTCTCTTCATATAGTTGTTGAACAAGTCAGTGGAAAAGACCACATGCTCAACCATTTGAGCATTCCAGCAGCTTGTTTCACTCACCCAGAAATTAAGTATGGTTGGACTCACAGAGGTGAATATCAAATTTTCCAATTCCCATACCAAACCCACAAATTTTCCAATTAGTGTTAGCATCACTTTTCTTAATTTTTAACGGTGTTTTTATAACCGCCGCATATTATTTAACCAAAACGGCACCGTTTTATAATTGAAGAACCAGTACACTTTTTGGGCTTTTATGAATAATTACAAAAAGCTTTATTGAAACACCAAAAACCATTTTATCGGTTCATAAAAACTTTATATACATAATCAAAAGTCAATCATACATTATATCCACACACAATATAATATCTTAAGCCCAGCCAACAGAATTAAATCAAGTCATACATATACAGGGAACCAACAGAACTTGAACATAGGACACTTCGGGAACCTCCACGTAAGGCACAATGGTTGGCTGACAACAAAACACAAATCCAGACAAAAGGCTTCAGGCTCGGGCTCCAGAATGCTCACCTATACATATATATACACATAATGAGCTAAAGCTCAATGAATAACATTAAGGTAAAGAGATAAGTGAACGAAATCCGAATATATCATAAGCGGAAAACAGATCATAACATAATCATCGTCATATCAGAACATAATAATGGTACATCCCATAGAACACATCACAGAATGTCTTCCGACTAGAGTAATCGATTCCGGATACCGATTAAACACATATCACCACAATGAAGTGGCTAACAAGATCTCGTAATTACTTGTATGTCATGAACCCGCATTTTCATGCTGTCCCCCATGACTTGAGACTATCTATAGATGCCATAATAGATTTCAAACTTGGGATGTTCGTTCACATGAACAGATATCATTTCAGAAATCATAACTTATCGCATTTCATTTGGAACATAATTCATATCAACATATCTTTACAGAAATGTTACTCACAGTGGTTCCCGTAAATGGTCAATCAATCCTCGAGTCTTGACCTACAATCACAAAATACATAACACAAGCATGCCTTATTATTACACATTCATGTGGCCAACACGGCTTAGCTTTCATTACGTTGGTTCTTGTTCTTTCTTATCACATTGTCTAACACCCACACACACTTGCAATCTCGGAACTTAGTACATTCTTTCCTTAGTGTGTTTCTAATCCATAACCTCATTACTCTGGCTTAATTAAGGCTTAGGAATGCCTAAGATGCAATGAGGATGCCAAAACATTCCTTGGAACACTTAGGAAAATTTCTGAAAATAGGGTCCACGTTCAAGCGTAGTTTTCCTCGCTCGAGCGGACATGCAAAATGTGAATGGTCGCTCGAGCGCACATTCCTTCGCTCGAGCGATCTGTAAAAGACATGAAACTTCTGGGAGCTTGCAATTCATGCTCGAGCGGACTTTTGGTCGCTCGAGCGAAGTGCACGCACTCAGACTGGTCACTCGAGCGTGACTCCCACGCTCGAGCGTAGATGCAAATTCTGGAATTTCCAGATTGCACCTTCAAGCTCAAAACTCGAATTCCAACCTTCAAAACACATCTCTTGGGCCCCAAAACTTGAGATAACATAGTAAACTTGTAAAACATGAAGAATTTAGGATCATTTCATAAAATCATGGCCCAAGGGTTTGTTAAAAATTCACAATTTCAACTTAAAACATGATGAATGTTCATGAACACAACATGCATGTAAAATCTTTTCTTCAAACCTCATGAAACTAGTAAATTGAGCTCATAAGCTCCATGCATGTAAGAAATTCTTCCCAAAACATGATTTTAAGTGAAGGAACATGATAATTCAAACATGGATGATATGAATCATGTTTAAAATGATGAAATTAAACTAAACTAAACATGCATGTATGAATTAACTCTAAATTCATCATCTTTGGTCCAGTTCTTGTACATAATCACAAATTCTTCTTGAATGATCTACTTGATGGTTAAAAGTCATAATTAAGTCTTAAATCCTTACCTAGAGTCTTCAATTAGCTAGGTACTTGCACAATCTTTGAACAATTCAAGCTATAGCCGTCAATTCTTCTTCAATCTCTTCCTTTCTCTCTCTAGAATTGTGCTCCCTCTCTCTCTGAAATGTTTCACCAAATTTTAGCACTAAAGGGGAAAAGGATTGAGCTCAAAAATGAGCTTAAGGCTCACATATAAAGCTATGACGTTAAAATACACTAATTAGAACATAAGGCTTGCCAAACGCGACTTAACGAATCAGACTGAATCAATTTTTAATAAAACTTGCCATATGGTTCTAAAAATTCCAAATAACATATTGCTGGAGTCAATTTCGGTTTCGGATGCCGATAAGGCTTTCAATTTACATATTAAAGCGGAATTCCAGACAGATATTTCTACAAGTAACAGATAGTAAGCCAAATATCATGCAAATCACATAATAAACCCATAATTTATTTTATTCACTTAATTAACATCCTTAACTACCGATTAGTAGCTAATTGTGGATCGAGGTTATTACAGTCTCCCTCTTCGTCTTCCCTCTCTCGCTCAAGCATTTGTAGATCTGTCCTTCGTCATCCCTCTCATCCACTGTCCGACGTCTTCAAGTTAGCGCACCATCCAGCGTCTTCTCCCTCTCCGATCGTCGTCCCTCGTCCAGGTCAGTTTCTCTCTAGCTTTTGTCCATCTCTCTCTATATACTTACACACACGCACACACATACACACACACACACATATATATATATATATATATAATAGGATTTTGAGAATGATTCTTGTAATGAAATTGTTTGGAAATTGTAGTTGTAGCGATCTCAGTTTTGCCACTTCACTAAGTATGTCAGGGGTCGATCTGCTCAGCCAGCTCGCGGGGGTCCAGGGGGCAGCGCCCCTTGGCGGGTCCAAGGACAGTGCTCTGGCGGGGGTCGAGCTGTCCGGTCAGCTCGCGGGGGTCCAAAGGGCAGCGCCCTAGTAGGGTTGAGGGGCAACACCCCCAAAACAAAAATGCAAAATGCATTCGAAGTTGCTTGTCCGCTCGAGCGCCCGTTTATGCGCTCGAGCGGAGAATGTTCGATTTCAGAAGTTTGACCTGTCTGCAAAAGTACTGGATTAGTGTATTTGACGCTCGAGCGGGGCATTCCACGCTCAAGCGGATCATGTTATATCAGTTTGTGAATTTGATATTTCAGGCCACTTTTTCAGTCATATTTCTAAAACTCTCCAAAATTCCAGATCAAGAGCTTCTCTCTCTAGAAGTCATCTTCTCTCTTTGATTTCTCCAAATCTATTGGGATTTAGACCTAAGTTCTTCACAAAAGTTGGTTATCATCTCGAGGGCTTTGTTGTGTGCAGCGAAGATCGAGTTTGGACACCGTTGGGGTTTCATCTCATTTCTTCTTCAAAACTTGAGGTAGGGATTTTCTTAGAGTTATATATATATTTTTGCAAGATCTAGATGATTTTCGAAATCATCATTCGATAGCTTTGAAAATTGATTGTTAATTCAAGAAGTGATCTTGGTTGATTGAAGAAAAGATGATTTTGGAAAGTTCTTTTTCAAAAGATTTGAGTTGTATAATTTTGGTGAGAAAACCTAGAATTTGGGAATTTTTTTTTAAGATACTGAAAATCCATAAATGATATTGTTATATTTATTTTGTGTATCAAAATAAATGGATGTTTGGAAATTTTCTTATTTATATTTATAGAAATGATGAAATTCAGGGAATATGAGAATTGTTGTTCATTTTGGAAATTATTGTTGAAAACGTTGAAATATTCTTGAAATGACTAATTGTTGAGGATACTTGAGAAGAGGAAATTATTTATTCCTTAGATGATGAATTGGAATAAAAGTATTTATATTCATCTTGTGTTATTGGCATATCAATTCATTTGATTACATTAAACTTTGAAAGTTGATTTGAAAACTTGCATTGCGAAAAGAATGTTGAGAAACAAGTTTCCATGAATTGGTTTTGGGGTAAATACGGTGGTAAGTCTTGACAGGTGGTGTAGATGAAATTGAATAGGTGTCGAGCCTTCCAGTTAATACTAATAAAAATGACAGATTATAGGTGTCAAGCCTTCCAGTCAATACTGATAAAAATAACAAATTGATAGTGCTTGTGTAGTCTACTTGTAGACACCGACTTAGGGATTACCAGAGTCTTATTTACTGCCCTTGAAATAAATTGTTAAGTTTTGAACAATTGAAATTGCATGATATTATTGAGTATGATGGTTTTCAAAAGATGAAAATGTGATTTATCTTTAAAAATGGCATAGTATGACATGTGCATTTCATCTCTTGAGACTTATATAAAATGTATATACTTTGTTAAGAATTTCCTACTGGGCTTTATGCTCACCCTACGGGATTTTATGCAGGAAAAGATGTGGTGATCCCACCCAACTAGGGTCGTGGAAGTATGTGTGTTAGGAGTACAATTCTCTTATTTTGCTATGACTCTGTGTGTAAGCCAATGGCTGTGTTTGTGTAGGTTTGAATAACCATTTTGTGTAACCAGGCTCAAGCCTTGGAAACTTGTAAACCCCTTGGGGGTATTTATTTGTTTATTTACTTGTTGTTGGATTAATGTATTGTTGCATGAAGAACTATTGTATCATGTAATGTAAGTTTGGAGATTTATATTCGGTTTTCCTTGAAAGAGCCATGATTGTTGTATTATCATTTGGGCTCGAAATTTGGGGCGTTACAGTAGTCGTATTCTGTAATGAAATATATATATATATATATATAAACATACATTGAAGAGCTATTTTGTTTGGAAATTGTAAGAGCTTGCATTGTTAGAAATTGTAATGACAGATTATTTGTTTGTTAGGAAAAAATAAATAAATAAATTGAAAAGGTAATATATTATAATATGTTATTAATTTTTGAATAATCTATTGTAATGAAACATACAAGAGCTTGCATCATTCAAAAGCTTGCATTATTAGAAATTGTAATAACAGATTATTTATTTGTTACGAAAAAATAAATAAATAAATTGAAAGGGTAACTGTTATAATCTGTTATTAATTTTTTAATAATCTATTATGAATAGCTTGTATCATTCAAGAGCTTGCATCATTAAAATAATCTGTTATTAACAGATTAATAACAGCGTCAATAATGATTGTTTTTTGAACAAATTAATAATAGGTTATTCTATTATTCTATTAATCTATTAAATAATTTGATTTCATATGGTATTTTTGAATGAACAGAAATGGAGATTGATTCGAATACTAGTGAGAATCCTTTATTAACTGAGAGTAAAGAAGTTG